TGGTACTTTCCCCTTTTCCCCGTATGGGGGGGGGGGGGTTTTTTGCCCCCTTTTAAGACAAACCCCCGTTGTTTTTGGGTTTTCCCCCCCCCCAAAGTAAGTTTTTTTTTGCCCCCCCCGGTTTCCCGTTCCTCCCCCCCAACAAAAGAAAACCGAATTTCCTTGCAACCAATTTTCTCCCTTTTTGGCCGCCCCTTTGGAAAAAGCAAAAAAAAGGTTGGGTTGGGCGCTGAAAACGGCAAGGTTCCCAACCCCTAAAGGGGGGTTGCGGGTTTGCAAGCCCCGGGCCCACCAAAAAATTTGGGGGAACCCGATATGTTTGTAGGGGGGAGGGGTTCCTTGCAAGGAAATTTTGCGGGAAAAAAAAAAAAATTTTCCCAGTTTCCCCCCCTTCCCTTTTTTAAGAGTTTTTGGGGGGGGGTAAAACAGCAAAGGAGGGGTTGGCATTTTCCCCCCCCCCCCCCCCCCCCCGTTTCTTGCACCCTTCCCTCCACCGCCTTCTTCAGTGTAAATAACACTCATAAACATGAGACATCTGACAAGAAGCCCGCCAGGCAACAAGTACGTCCATTCGTCATCATGAGGACGGCAAACACCCCTCCGTCGATCACGGTCACCCTCTGCCCCCGCCTTGCCCAATACCCCACCCAAACCTCACGCGGTCCATCATGTAGGTATTCATACATACGTACATACAGACGACAAACCCTCCCCGGGCCCGACTTGCCTCTCGAGGGGGCGCTTTTCTTCGCAATTGGCCCAAGGTGGGGTGGCGCGCGGCACAAAGTTTAAGGAGTTGGCGATGGTGCCAAGGTTGTGTGTGGCCATGTTACAGCAGCAGCGCTACTGGATCTTGCACCGGCAACAAAAAGCGGGAAAAAAAACAATACCAGGAACCCAAGGCCGGACAAACCACAAACCGGAGAAAAAAAACGAAAAACGTGTTCCAAGCTTGCGACAAAAACAAATGGTGCCATCGAAGCATGTGGTGACACGCGTAGCATCTCGCGTCGGGAGGTGACCTCAGTCCCGTCGTCGTCGTGGCCGTCATGATGATCATCATCATCATCATGGTCAGCCCAGCGCCCCCTGTGTCTTGGGTCATGTCTCTCGTCCGTGTGAGTGTCATCGATCTTTCTTGGCCTGCCGGATCACCGTCCCGGTAAAGCCGAGGCCGTGGCAAAACCGTAAGAGGCGGTCATGGCAGTGGTGTGGTAAGTGGTGGTGGTAGTAGTACAAGTCGCAGTGGACGGCGGTGTGTGGGGGATGATATTATAGTGCTGTGCGTCTCTGAGGGTACTGGCGACGAGCGCCATCCCGCTAACATCAAGAAGGCTCCGGGTCAGTAATTTCCTTCCACTCACGAAACAAGGGCCCTCCGGGCAGATGAGGGCTCCGAGATCCGACGGGAACGATTTCTGCAACTTATCACCAGTCGCCCCGCTACCTGGTAGTCAATACTGCTGTAGGTACATGATCTCGGGTGACTTAAAACAGTATTACAATAGTACCATCGTACCTGGTCCCCCGCCTGGTTGAGGGTAGCGATGAAATTTCTCCGAAGGTTCTCGAGGATGTCGTCACCGCCGTCTCGGTCCGCATCTTCCAAGTCCACCTACAATACACACACCGCCGTACGACATCATTCCACCGGTGGAGACCGGAGGGGGGGGGGGGGGGGAAGGAAGGCGGGGGGGGGGGGTTTAATAAAATTGTGGATGGGGGAAATGTTGAAAAAATT